GAAGCCATTTAAATGTAAATGGGAATGAGTTGGGTAGCCATTCACATGGAAATGGAAAAAGACTGGGAAGCCATTTAAATGTAAATGGGAATGAGATGGGAAGCCATGCAAATGGGAATGGGAATAAATTTGGAATTCATTCGAAGAAAAAAAAAAAAAAAGGAATAAATTGGGAAGACATTTGAAAGTAAATGGGAATGAGTTGGGAAGCCATTTGGACCTAAATGGGAATGAGTTGGAAAGCCATTCAAAAGTAAATAGGAATAAATTGGGAAGACAATTAAATGTAAATGAATTGGGAAGCCATGGAAATGGGAATAAATTTGGAAGTCATTTGAAATTAAAAGAATAACATATATATGAAGTGAAAACAAATGAAATTTACTTTTTTTCAGTGTTATAATACTGTTCTTGAATCTGCAATTGAAAATGAAATCGTAAAACAAAAGGAAGTGAATATGGAACCTCTGGCCAAGACCCTCAACCAAGACTTGGTAAGAAACTTACAGAGGCAGTGCTTCTTGATACACTTAGTAGTTCTATTCAGCTGAGGATGAGTTAATAAGTGGAGTTCTGAAATGGAGAAATTTTAGTTAGTTTGGGGGGGGGGGGGGGGGGGGGGAGGTGGTAGCCTCCTATGCAGACTTTTTTTGTCACACAATTAACGTTTCTCACCCACACTAGAGAAACATTGCTTGACGACATGAACACCCTAAAGACGTTTAAATTGGAGGCTTGCATGGAAGGGGGAGTTGGAGAGAGGATTATGACACCACTATTGTGAAAACTATAGCAAAGCTACCAATGAAGAAATAGGAAACACACGCACGTGGTGTGTGGAGTTATAAAGCATGCGGGATTGGCAGAACACGAGAGAAGTGTTAGTAGGAGAAGCATGACACGTAGCGGAGTGCTTCCCGACACTCCTCAAGTTTTGTTGCAATCCCCAAGTGCTTTATAACTCCACACAGCAAAGCACAGCGAGCAAATTTTTTATTTCTTTTATAAAATGCAAAGGGCTTGTGCGTGCTGTGTGCTCTCATAAAGCATGCGCTCCCAACCAATCAGAATGCAAGATTAATAACAGTTATTTTATAACACACTACAGCTGTTTCATGCGTATTATTAAGAGTGAATGTTTCATTTTATAAAGGATGAAGCGGCTATAGAAATGGAGGCCAAGCAAAAGAAGGAGCTTGAACGAATCAAAGAGCTTGATTTGTCAGAGTAAGTGACTTACAAACCAGATCTCTTGAGTTAGACCAATTTGAAGTGTCTGAAGTGGTCCATTTTTTCCCCAGGTATGCTATTTCTGGGAAGGATGAAGAATGGAGTACTGCTCTTGGAGGGAAAGAGAAACAGCATACAATTGTTAGCATTCCAAGCAGCAAGAGAAAGACCAAGGTAGTCCACCATCTCTGTTGACGTTTTGATTTACAAGTTTAATAATTTTAATCCAATGATTAAGTAAATATCTTTCTTTGCTTCCTCCCTCTCTTCCTCCATCCACCTTCCACCCATCCTCCATTCCTCCATCCCTCCCTTGCTTGCTTGCTTCCATCCGTCCTACATTCATCTTCCATTTATCTCCTATTTCTTCCATCCATCCAATTTTCCTTCTCTTTTTTCATCTTTTCTTCCTTCCTTTCTTTCTTTCTTTCTTTCTTCCTTGCTTCCTTCCTTCCTTGCTTCCTTGCTTCCTTCCTTTCTTTCTTTCTTT